CGGGAATACTCTGGGTACGGACACACCACACGCCCATACCCGGTGCTGTCGGACCGTGTTCGGACCTTGTACAAGTTCTGCAGCTCGCGGATACTCTGGGCACGAACACACACCCGCCCACAGCAGGTGGTGTCGGACCCAATACAGAGTTCTGCAGCTTGCAGATACTCTGGGCACGGACACACACGCGCCCGTACCGGGTGATGTCGGACCGTGTACCGAGTTCTGCAGCTCGCAGGTACTCAGGCCACGAACACACGGGCTGGCCAGGATGGCGCTGTACCTCATCGCGTTCTGCAGCCCACGTGTGCCCTCTTGACAGACACAACTCGCTGACACTTGTCCCCGTACACCCCACAATATTGATTACGTCCTTCAGACACGGACAGTTGTTAGCATTATTCAAGGCGCTGCTCATCAATGCCGTTGAAACGTCAGCTGGGAGGCCACGGAACATGAGCGGTACATCAATGCGAGCTGAGCCGATCAGCAGAGCCGAGTTGACACCATCCATCATCTGCACAGCAACTTGTTAACATACGTACTCATTCATGCTACAAACGACCTATGCCCATTTGCGATTTGTCTGCAATCAGCTCACCCGGACCTCGGTCCGCAGCGCGCAGTTCAGCTCAGGGGACAGGGTGGCCCCGGCTCAGGCCCAGTCCCCGGGTCCGGGCGGCGCGCTCTACCCACCCACGGTCCGCTCCAGACGGCGCACGCTGTCCGAGTAGGCCGTGTCCAGGTCGACGCAGTGCAGCTTGGACTCGGCGCTGTACTCGCGGAAGCAGTTGATGCAGAGCAGCTCCTTCTTGTCCGTGCTGAACATGATGTGGGGCTCGTTGTGCACCGCACACTGCGGCCAACGGCGCCACCATCGCGGACGTCAACGACCGGCCGACATACAAGACACCGGCACGCCTCAGCTGCTGCAGCGGTACACCGTTGCGACCTTGAGATCAGCGGACAGGGCCGTGTGGCCGTGAATCATGCCGCAGCCTCGGCACGAGGGGAACAGGTGCACGACGGCCTTTGTAGCGTTCAGACGGCCCCGATACCACCAGTCACTATGCATTCACAGAGGCATACCGGACGACGACGAGACCACTGGTCCAAACGCCACTGCACGTGCACAGATTCGCGTGGGCGCTACGGTGCCGGACGGCAGCGCTCTCTGGCGGGCGACGGCGGCGTCGCTGGCGACGGGGCGAGCCTCGGAGCCGGGTGCGGCCGCTCACCTGCTTGCAGGCCTTGCGCAGTCGCTCCGACAGCGTCATAACCTCGTGCATGGAGAACATCTTGGCGCGGTGCGTCTCGTTCTTGCAGCGCTCACACAGCGCCTGGCCTGGAGCGGTGGGCGGCAGAGACAGTCAGCCGAGCACGGCACCGCCCGCTACCCGGGCATATATATATATATATATATATATTATATATATATATATATTATATATATATAGCCGAATAACTAGGCACGGTAGTGAGGGAGCAGGGCTGGAGAAGGTCGGTAGGAAGCTGCGCACTGTTGGACATATTCAGCAACGGCACTTTTTTTTGCACATTCGGGAAATTACTTCGCCACGGCCTATTGACGCCGGCTATAGCGTGTGTCTGGGTGGGGGGCGCCATAAGCGGCACCAATCACCGACAGATCGGTCCGCTCCACCCGGCCATTCAGCGGTGGCTGCAGCAGCGGCCGCAGCTGGCCCCCACCACGGGCCACGAGCGCGCTGACCGCGCGCCGCGCGCCACCAGTACCCGGGCGTGGCTGGCAGACCGGCCGCCGGCCATGCCGGGGTGGACTGCGCGAGGCGGCCACGGCGGAGGGCGGCAGCAGCTCGGCATCTCCTCGCGCCACTGGGCGGTACACGATGACCACCGGGCCAGCTGGGGACCGCCACTTCCATATGGATACAAGACAGGTGTAACCAGCCCCCATCTTCTGTTTATCATCCATCTGAGGCGAGTCTCGCCCACATTATTTCCGCTAACTTGTCTCGCAAACCAAAAATGCAAAAAAGTTCAAAAGGACTCAACGACATCACTTGGGCCTTAGCCCAACGGGCCCAATACTCGTCCAAAGTAATTCACCCATCCTGTTTGTCAACGAACGTGCCGTGATCGCTCTATTGCACAGCCCCTGCAATCGTTTTCGTTCGTGCTGAAACCGGTTTTGATCTCATCAGCGACGAAGCCGAAAGCAAGCTTGGCATTACGAGAGCGGCGATGCCGTACCGCAGGTGTTGCAGAAGAACATGCTGATATTCTCGGTGGTCTCGCAGTTGGCGCAGGGCGTGCGCGCCTCGGTGGAGAACTCGACCAGGAAGCGGAGCAGCACGTCAGCCGGCGGCAAGCTGTTGCCGTCCTTCAGCACCGTCGTCTTACTGCGGCAGGTCGGGCCGGCAGCGCGGCGTCAAAGGCGGCCGCGCGAGGCCCGGCCGCGCTCGGACCGGCGGGCTGGCTGACCAGGCGGCCGCGCGGGGCCCGGCTGCGCTCGGACCCGCGGGCTGGCTGACCAGGCGGCCGCGGCGCCGATCGACAGCCGCAGCCAGCCCGTGCGGGTCAGACCAGGCCAGACGCCGCACCGCAGGCAGCGGGTCACGCCCGGGCAGCGGTCACGTCCCGGGCAGCGGGTCACGTCCCGGGCAGCGGGTCATATCCCAGGCAGCGGGTCATACCCTAGGCAGCGGGTCACGCCCCGGGCAGCGGGTCATGCCCCAGGCAGGGTCATACCCCAGGCAGCGGGTCATACCCCAGGCAGCGGGTAATACCCCGGGCAGCGGGCCACGCCCCGGGCAGCGGGTCCTGGCACGGCTGGTCACTCCCGTCGTTCGTCGTATTCGACTGAGCACAGGTGGTGCCGGCCGCAGGGTTGAGTGTTGACTCAGGTGAGGACAAAGGGACTGGGGCGGTGATTCACCCAGCAGGCGGTCGACGCCGTGCGGTTCGGCTGCCGACGACGGGATAAGGGCTGCTGGCCGGGGCCGGGGCCGGGGCCGGGGCCGGGGCCGGGGCCGGGGCCGGAGCCGGAGCCGGAGCCGGAGCCGGAGCCGGAGCCGGAGCCGGAGCCGGAGCCGGGGCCGGGGCCGGGGCCGGAGCCGGGGCCGGGGCCGGGGCCGGGGCCGGGCCGGGGCCGGGGCCGGGGCCGGGGCCGGGGCCGGGCCGGGGCCGGGGCCGGGGCCGGGGCCGGGCCGGGGCCGGGGCCGGGGCCGGGGCCGGGGCCGGGGCCGGGGCCGGGACTCACCTGCAGATGGTGCAGCTCAGCCGTCCGTCCACCACACGCACCCGCAAACACTTGGCGCAGAACGAGTGAAAACACACCAGCAGGCACGGTTCGTCGTACACCTGTCAATGGTGTCGGACGGGGCAGTCAGCTGCGCAGCGACACACCACAGCGACCGCTCAAGACTTCTACGCTCCTTAACGCGGATCATGACGCAGTGCCTCCATCACAAAATGTCTACCTCACCACGAAAATGTTCGCGGTGCGACCCATACATAACCCACTGCTACCACCTTCCATTTCCCTCGTTAGAATCGGCATGGCACACTGCGACCGTCGATAACACAGCAGGCACACATGGCTGCAATGCTGCTGACCACGGCAGCTGCACAAGCCATGCTCGCAATCAGAGCACAGCCGTGGGTGGGCGGCGTCGGGCCGGCCGACCGGCACTGGCACCGGCACGGACGGCGTGGCGGATCGCCGTCGCCTCTCACCTGGTTACACAGCGGGCAGAGCAGCGGGTTACGGCACAGCTCGTCCACCGAGCTCGGCAGCAGATCGTCCATGCTGGAGGACAGGATGCCGCCGGCCATGGCAGCACCAGTGACGTCACACAGCGCGCCGCTGCGACACACGCCAGGTTAGCGGCAGGGCCACCATCTGTCAACACCTTGCGCGACAATGCAGACACCCCCGCGTCAACACCGAGATGGGCTAGTTTTGATGCCGCTGTTACGCTCGCGAGAGTCCGACGAATACGACCACACCGACCAGCCAGAGGTTTCCAGTGGTTCGGTGGACTGAGCGCCGGGTTCCACCGCCCACCAAGTCGCCATTTCGTATAGCGCATGCCACGGCGGGTTAGTGCCCGCTTAACTACTTCGTTGCCAGGTGACGCACAACGATGCCACCTCGGGCTAGTTGATTTAGCCGCGGTCCACGGACAGTGGTGTGACGCAGCACCGCCCCGGAGTCCGCCGCCGCCACCTGCTCAGCGCCCTAGCACGTACCACCAACACCTGGTTTGCCTAAGCCCCGGATGTACTACCGGAGGCACCTGCTTTGCGACCAGCCGAGGAAATCTGCCCCCCCCCCCCCCTTCAGGAATGCCAAAGTGGTGCCGTCTTGTTATCACGTCACCTGCTTCACGACGTGTTCCACGAATGCCGGTGGGACCCCCGGCCAATGGCACGAGCGTACACGGGCGCACGGCCGCGGGCGTGCTCGTGACGAGCGAGGCTCGCTTGGACGGCGATACAGTGCTCAAGTTGAGCGGCACGTGCCAGACCGGCCCCAGCCGTCACGATTTCGGAGGCTCATATCTTAACAAGCACTGATCGCAGTTTCATAGCTCCCAGCGAAAAGAAGCACGATTTTGTAAAGCTTATGGTGTGCATCCTTAAAGACGCCTGCATGCAAGCTGCTGGACCGGGCGTGACATTCAAGACATTACAAGCTAAAACGCATTTAACATGCTCCATGCAATCAACATGGAAAACGTAAAGTATGCTTATTGTGAAAAAGCTGTTCCACAAATGTCACAACCGAGCTAAAACCTCTCCAAACTGGCTCCTGGCAAACTGGCTAAAACTGACTCCACGACGATATGAGACCAATAATCTTGAGTAAACCGGGACCACGCGATGGCAGTGGCAAATTGAGGCGGTTTGTGCAGCCTGTCACACGCCCTCGAGCAACGTCCACGACTCAGCTCGCTGCTGGACGTTTTCAGGGACAGGTGTCAGATCTCGGCAAGAAGAACAGACCAACTCGCGAAGCCGACTGCATGGCGCAAGCAAATGTTCCGTACACAAATCGCGGGGTAACCTCAATACCACCCGGACCACAGGCGCCCCAGTAAGAGACCGGGAAGCTGTAATGTGACGCTTTCCAAAACCGGCCTCCAATACAACACGTGTGCCCTACATCGGGGGATAATGGGACATGATAGCAACACAGGTGCATGGTTCAGCGCATGGTGACCAACATTCACGCATATTATTTGCCAGATCACAATATTTGGAGCACAGCCCATACACGGTAAGGGCAATCAGTTTCAGACCTTCGTCTTCTCTGGCTGCTGAGATATGGCAAATCGATAAAATGCTCAGAGAGCTACCGATCCATGGTTTGTCTTCGAGCGCTCGTGACCGACCGCACGCATCCACTCACAGTTATGCAAACACCATTATCGGCCCTCCCCTGCGTCAAACTGCGCAGGTCTCTCGCGCAGCGGAGCCGATACCCGAGACCAGCCTCCGGTCACGGAGCGAGCCTTTCTCGAAATAAGAACTTTATGTTTCTGTGTAATATGTCGTGGTAGCAACATCTCATATTATCAGATTGCAGGAATACCATATCTGGCAAAACATCCTGCCTGCAGGCACCTTCAAACTTGGACATTATACATCTCACAAAATCGCTCTCAGAGCAAAAATCCTACAGAATCCACCCTTCCTGTCACTAAAGACCAGTATATCTTATGTGTCTGTGTGCCTGAAAATCATGGCTGTTCACTCCAGGCATCATTGCCAATCTGTGGCACTAATCACAGATGGGTAGGCAAATACAAAAGAACAAAGCAAGGCTTAATGCCTATTGTTAGACTAACATCTGCAAATAATGAAGCCAATCCATTTCAAACAAACAAAATCAGAAAATTCATTCTAAGTCTATCAACACTGTGACTAAAGTATTTTCAAAATACCATTATGGATGAATACTGGCCACATTGCATTGGAACTACATGCTCTTCATGGCTATATATCTTGCTGTATGCATCTTGCGCTTGACACCAAATAAAAGCCCACATGTAATGATTTCTGGGCCCTGACAAACATACTTAAGTGTCCCTGTTGTTACTAAGGGTTGGACAACATTAAATTGGCCACATGACAACAGGTATGAAGTACACTTGTTTACACCAAAAAGTTGAAGTCAAATTCACATGTATTCTGCCTGCCAAGATCTGAGAATGATTATGAAAAACACCATAAACAGGTGGGTCAATGGATGCCATGCATGCTCTTGATCTGCTGCACTAAGGGTTTCAATAAATCAGAAGTGTTGCAAAAGCTGGCACCCTGCTGCTAAATGGTACACAACAATTTTGTGCTCCTAACTGTACCCAAGAAAAATGGTAGTTACTGCAATTATTTAGAGCTGCAGGTATATCCTATCTGAGCTTGTTCATAACCCTATGTTCATCCCAATTTTAGCCCTCTGCTCAAATTGAAACATATTTGAATGTTCTATGGCAACAATTGTTCATGCAAAGAGGCCATGTGAGTTCTACTGAAGACCAAACATCCCACCCAATTATTAAAGACATTAAAAACATTTTTTCACTAACCGTTGAAAGCCTTTGCACTCTACAACTTAGACAAAAGTAAGCATCCCAGCCTAACAGCTGCTTCAGTGAAATGACTGATCCTCTTCCCCATCAAACTGTGCTTGCCTTTGCCAGCCTAGATACTGGATGGGGTTCTAAAGGCCAATGATTCTAAAATTGATCGGGTTTGTGAGAGGTCATTTTGTTGACAATGGTGGTGGGGAAGAAATGCATAAAAGTAAAGTTTACCATTTCTTTATATATGAATAGAATCAGTGAGCACCATTACAACATGCATCCGTTTTATATCCACATAAGGACAATTAATTTATCAGTTCTTTGGCTCAGTTCTAGCCTGGAAATTAAGGGCAGATATTGATAAAAGAGAAGACCATAGAGAACAATACTGATACCGCTGGCCTTCCTTTTAAGGTCACAGCAATGGGCCGAGGTTTCCAACAGGTCCAACTGTTGTTCACTATATTGTCATACCTACCACTCCAGTTATCCCCAATGTCAGTTTGCTGTTACAGATACATGCAATGTGCTAAGACCCTTGCCAGGCCACTGATGGCAGATTACCAGTACTAAAAAAACCTTGAAAGCTACAGGTTTTCCAGCTAACAACATAATATCATCCTGAAACCTATCTGTAATTCTGGTTAAGAGAATGTACCCCTGTTAATGACTATCTTTCAACACTAAGCCTTAACACATGCAGCTCTCAGAAATGAAGGCAACGCACTGGATGTGAGTGATGGCTCAGAAATATAAAAGCCCTACCTTTACCAAAAAGCTTTCTGCACATGGAAACTAAGCATGAAGGAAAGCATCAAAATTAGCCATAGGATGTTGGCACAGCCTGATCTGGTGGCCTCTTACCATATTGACGTGCATCATATCCTGATAAATGCTTAAAACTTGTGACATCCCATGTATGATAACCATGACCTTAAGAAATGATCACAGAACACCCAATTTTAATGAACAAAACAAAGCCATTATTAGGGCAAATCCACTTACGAGTTGCACAAAGGTTGAGGGCAAGTCTGCCAAGAAATTCATCCATTGCAGAGGATACCAGCAGGACATTGATGAGCTAAACATCATTTAGTAAGTGCCTATCTCAGGCCAGACCAGGTTGTGCTGGATTTTGAAAATTAGCTTGCAGAGAACAAAAATTCTCAGAGTATGTTTGCTGAAAAGTATGTGCTATTACAGTTAATAGAGACATCAGCAGTCTAAGCTCTGAATTTGGTTGTGACAGCACTCCAAACTGTGGGTTCATGTATTCATGGTGAATATGCACTGAATTTATTGCCTTCATGTTGCTGCAGCAATAGGCATGTTCTTCAGGCTGTAGTGTATTTTTTCAATCTGGGCAGCAAGCACCAATGTTTAATGCTGCTTATGTCAAAACATGTATGTTACTATATCAGCTGTTTGAACCCAGAATAGCACCAATGTCCATACGTCTAAAATGTCTGCAAAAAAAATGTTGCATGGGTAGACGCATGGGTTCACGAACTTAAGACAACTCAGTGCAGGTTCGGTAGCGCAATAGCATATGCACTAACAAGTGGACGTGCAATATACGTCCATAGTATTCGCATAGAGCTACCTCACTCCCCTTGGTCTCTTATCGTTCCCAACTATCCAATTTTTCCCAGGCATTCCAGAGAATACAACCGCAAAATCATGGAACACAAAATTTCCGAAAATACAATACTAGCGCAGCAGACGCATTTCCCACTCGGTGGAATAACATCACTTTTGGAAAAGCAATGAGTTTTCGGACGATAAGTATTTTGTTCGCAAGCTCCCCTAAAATATCAATTTGTTCAACAGATAGTGAGAAAGCTCGACTGCCTTTTAAAGATACGTAATCAATGAAATATTTGTAACCTTTTCTTTCTATACCAAAACATGCTATACTAAAATGAAAGCCATTGTCAGTTTGCACTTTTAATGTCACAGTTAAAGAAAGTCTGCAGTAATGCAATATGCAGCCGCGAAAAAATATGGAAAATGTTTCTAGATATATGAACAACAGCAAATTATATCTCACAAGATTTAGTCCTTGATACTTTGGCATTGGCAAGGTCTATCCTGCCGCAAATGAGACACACAGTGGCGCGATTTCTACAAATGTGTGGACAGTATGGTGTGCGATATCGGAATTGATGACGTCATTGCTCATTTTCATATCTACACAAGCCCGTCCAAGAAGAAGACTTGACGTAACTCACAGGCGGCTTTCCAGCATATGCAACCAAACCGTTTGCTGGAGCGTGCCCAGGGTACTCAATCATAAAATCCGTCCTGTCCCTGCTGGGGGCACGGTGCCGCGTTTGCTGGTGTTTGCTGTGCAGCCAGCTTGTTCCGGTGGCAAGGAAGTGGAAAGTCTGATACAGGCCTATGTTACTTAGCTGCTGTTGGGTTCACAGCTGTCCAATCCGTTTTGGATGGCTGCCCCGCGAACATAAACTAAACTTTTCCTTGTACCTACTTCAACGTTTCCGTCTGGTCCCGTGGGCTTTTTGTACCCATTGTTTCGATCACTGGAGTCCTGTCCACGGCTCTGTCCCTGAAACTTATCAACCCACATAAGAAGATAGGTACCTACCTGGGTAACATATCCATCCATCTCTGCTGATCTGTACCACATCCACCAGGTGACATGTCATCCTCATGCACTGCTGAAACATCATCTTAATGCTGCATAACAAATATGCAAGCTTGTGAAAATAGCTGAAAGTGCTGTAAAATAAGCACAGTTCTTGAAATTATAGCACATCTGTAAATGTATGGATTTCTTACAATTCAAAAGGGTTGAGTAACTTCAGTCTGACACACATGCTTTTTTCAAATGCATGCTGTAAAATGTGATGGTCATCTTTGCAGATGGGTTAGAGTGAGATACTGCCAGCATTGGGGCATAACTGCTAGCTATTATATCCTTCTGACCATTCCTGAATATCCAGCTTCAACAAAGTCCTTTCTGTGATCCCTTGCAAGTGTCCTTTATGTTTATGTCATCATTATCCTTTTGTATGCCCTGCTATGAACCATTTTTTAAGAACAGGTATCTTAGAAGAACATCACATGGAGCACAGCATGGAAAGGTAAGAAACATCTTGATGGAATGCTGGGTAGTATTTAGCATGCTTAGTTGTCATCATTTAAAGGTACTGGTAGAATGGTGGTGTAAGCTGGTTGTCTGGGTGACCAGAAGTACAAGTGCTGATTCTTTTTTTCTACATGTCCTTGCTGGTGTGTGAATCAGTGTCCCTGTATAGCATTAGCAGCTTAATGCCTTGTAAAGACTGAATGGCACTATGTCAGTCATTGGTGTGTTTATGCTAGAAATGTGTGGCCCTTGTGTCTGTTAATGGACCTATTACATTCTTAGTTACTATTTTGACAGCATAGTTATAGAAATTTCCTGGTTCCTTCTTTATTATTATTATTGTTATGCTGACTTTTTGAAATGGCCAAATGCAACTCTTAAGATTTTATTATGTGGTCATTCTAGATAATTATTTGTATTAGTATCTTCTGATAATTATGCAGTATGTTTGTTTCAATAATCAGGCTGCTTTGTTTGTGGGATGTATATATATTTGTGCCTTTTGTGCAGCATAACCAAAGGGGAATCATGCACCTACAAACCAATTTTGTATTCCTCTTAATTGTTTTTTGTAAGATACCATGTATTAACAGGCAAATGAATAACACATGAATTGATATGTTCTCAGCTGATTTTGATCCTTCAGTTATTACATAAAAATACAGTTGCATGCTCATTTGTTTACTATGGATAAAATTATCTGTGACAATTTATACCCTGTGCTTGTATTAAGTATAGTTTTAGTTATTGACCATATGGTGAATTATTGGTAAGGCATTATTTGCATTGATCCACTATGCATCAAAAAATAATTTTACAAATGTTGACAGCAGTATTTCTGTATTCTAGTGTGTAGTTGACCAGTGTTCTTGTCATATTACATAGAACAAAAACAAAAAATCTTTGGAACCAAAAATGTTTCCTCCTAAGAGTGAAAATGAAATAGTTTAACAGGAATGTTTGAGAATTATTCCTTGAGTTCTACAGGATTGCTTTCTATATTCATTTGTTAAGTACATGCATGCTAGTCATCATCCACATATTTCACCCATACAGGATATTATGGTTTATAAATATATAAATGCAGAACTAAAAGCAAAACCACAGTGTAGAATTTTGTGATATAAATGGTTGATGTCAACTTAAGGGATAAGTGCTGTACTGTTGGTGGCTCAATATGACATTTAAGTATTTTCAAGTTATTGAAAATACTTGAAGACTATTATTTTGGGATATTGTAATAAAGTCATAATGATGCATTTTTAATGGCCATAGGATTGCTGCATCATGTGGTGTTTCTGTTGATTTCTCGGTTTTGGCAACCCAGATTTAAAATTAACCAGATAACATGAGATAAACCCAGAAACAGTGCTTAAGCTTGCATTGCAATGCGGCCAACAAACTTAAACTGTTAAAGCACTGTAGCACACATTGTAACACATTTCAGCCTCAGGGCATGATCTGTTTGCCATCTTGTGCACCATGGTAAGAACATAAAGCTTTAAAGCATAAGTCTGAAAATTGGGGGGTGGGGGGGGGGGAGGTGGGTGGGAGGAGGCAATGGTGTCCAGCAGTTTTGTGTTCCCCCAAGACAGCAATGATCCTACTTTTTCCATGGTTTGGACTCAGTGGCAACCCTAAATGACCACCTCCCTCTTCATGAAAAGTTAACATTGCTATTATGGACCTTGGCTGGACAGAAAAAACCAAAAATGTGCATAGACCCCCAGCTTAAGATGACATGCAGTGCTCCTTAACAGAGTTGCTGCCTTTGGACCAACCAAAATAATGCTATGCATGAGCAAGGTTCACATCAAATATAGTTGCAGTATGGCCTCCTTCCTCCTCAACATGTGGAAGATGGATGTCTTAGACAGAAGGCATAAATGATGCAAAGGAGGTAACCAGTTTTGGGCGGAGCCAAGAGGGCTGCTTAGCCCTGGGGTCAACCGCACCGTCACGGTTGACCCGCAGGGCTATGGGGTCAATGGACAGGCTATGGCACCGTTCGCGCTGTCCTGCACGTGACCAGCCTGTGGCCGGCCGCGTTGGCCACAGAAGCCGGGTGATGCGTCTTTGGCACGGCAAAGGAGGCGTGCCGTTGTCAGTGGCGATCTCTCCATGCGACTGAAGTCAGAGCTCGACGTTTCTGACAATGTGGATTCGCATGTTGTCAACATTGTGGCGGAGAGAAGAAAGTACGGTTGTATGTAAGGAACGATTCTTTGCTGGTCATCACGCTCTGTCGTCGGCGTTGCTGCTCTGCTCTGCTGCGCGGAGGTTATCAGCGGGACACCGCTGCGCTGTCCGCCTGACCTGGTCTGTTCTGATGGCGCGGTATCTGATGCTCAGTTCCGAGACGGGAGACCGCCCCATTTTCCAGGGGCTTGATTCCAAGCACGCCTCATGCGGTGCAGCTTCGCTCCCAAGCGTGTCGGTCGTGGCTGCTCGCCGTTCCAGGATGGGGCGTTTCAGCCACGTCCGCGTCTCCCCCACTGCTTGCGACGGGCGCGCCTGTTAGGATGTGGGCCATTGGCGGGGCGGGGTAAGGGGAAGCCTGCGCCGACCTCCGAGCTGGTGGCCTGGTCTGCCGCCCCTGACACGGCGGCGGCTAGTTTTTACCGGTGGGCGCGGTCGCTGTTGACAGCCCGTGGCGCGGGGCTGGCCGGGACGTGTTGGCGAGTCCGCTGTCGGCTGGAGAACGGCGCCGGCCCGGGCGGGCGGCGCCGACAGCAGCGCTGTCTTCTGCGGTAGCTGGCCGCCGCCGGCCTCTCCTGGGGCGCTCGCTCCGCCTCGCATGCCGGCGTCCTGCGCCCGGGCACGGCCTGCCGGGCGTAATTGACGCGCGCCGCGGCATTCCCGGCGGGGCTGCAGGCGGTGCCGCCGCCGGCGCCGAACCGCGGCGAGGCTGGCGCATTTTTATAGCGGTGCCAGTCGGCAAGTGGGCCCGGTAGCGTAATAGATGCAAACTGTGGGGCAATTTCGCCAGGCGCAGTGGTTTCTCGAGTATGCGGCCAGATAGGGACGGCCGTTGAGAGCCGGGCGCGGCCGGCGGCGGTGGAGGCAGGTGCGGGCCTCCGGCTCGGTTGTGAAGCGACGCCCTGGCGCCGCGCGGCGGCCGAGGTCGCTGCTCTGCCACCCGGCCCGGCCCTGAACGCAGCTTACTGGCGCTGACCGGTCGCTCTCTGTCGCCAAGCTCGCGCCCGGCGTGAGCCGGCCAAAGCAGAGCGCGTCACCGCTTGGTCAGCACTCGCCACAAGCTGACGGGCGTTGTTGGCGTGGGAACGGTGGTCGGAGGTGCTCCTGTGCTCCTGGACGACCGGGACTTGGCACTGGTCACAAGCATACCGGCTCCATGGCAGACGCGATTGATGGCGGGCTCAGGCGGAGCCGGTTGAAGAAAGGAGGGGGGGGGGGGGGGGGCGACGATGCTGCCCTCCCCGAGGTCGCGTATGCGCTCTCAGTTCGGCACGCACGGGTCCGTCTTAGTGGGAAATGGCAGGGAATCCTTTCACGTCAGCACATCGC